AATGGCTGCAGCACACAAGAAGAAGACATCACTGAGCTTCAATTAAAGGAAAAAACATTTGAAGACCAGTATCTTCATGTGAATGCAAAGATTACAGAAGAAGGGACAGGTGTGTGAGTAACCTGAGAATATAGAAAATGAAGCTGTGAAAGTTCACACCTGCTCTGGCCAATGGCGGTTTGAACCGTGTAGAAAAGGGTGTAGAAAGCAAGCAATTCCTCTCTAACTGGCCTGGGTTTCAATGCTGTTGCTAATTTCTCTTTCAGGATTGGAGTTCAGTGGATCTGGGACAATTAAAATTGAGAGAACCATAGCCAAACTCATATTTGTGAAAGCGGATTCACACTTTAAACAAGGGATTCCATTCGTTGTGAAAGTAAAGTACTTTTTGATTCATAGATGATTCAGCTGTATTGTGAGGCATCAACCTAGGCCATTCTGCTCAGTGATAAACTACTCTGACATCACTGGCTGCAATGTGAGAATTTAGCTTGCTGGTAGAGTTTGTATCTCAAGTGCTCAAGTGCATGTGTTTAATTCCCAGAGCTAAATTGAACACTTTGAAAAGTTATCAAGAAGCCCAAACCTAAAGCATATTAGCAAAATTTTTATTTCTAACTACTGTCCTTGAAAACCTTAAACCCCAAAGTGTCACTGTGTTTTCACAATGAAGCAAGATATGCTCCATATTCATAATGAATCCAAGCTCTCCTTTAGCCTCAGGGCCCTAACTAGCTTTTATTTTGACTGTGTGAGTGCATCTGCCTCCCTTCATCCACACCATGAAGTCATGGATGGTTTCTTGTGAAGAACAGGCGAGTAGGAAGCACCTTTTATTGAGTTGTGTTAAGACTATGACACCTTCAGCCTCTGGCTTTCACAGCACATCCAGTTCTTCTGGTGCAGATCTTAAAGAGTTAGATGTAGTGATAACTTGCCTGAGAACCTGTAACAGTGGCCATGCATTTTGGGTGTGGTTACAGGTGCAGACATAACCAGGTAAAGGTGAGGTTGGGGGGGGCAGTGAGACCCCCTTGGGTTGCAAGGAGCACGGGAGAGGCAGTGTTGGCATCCTTGGAGCAGGGCCGTAGACCGTCACTCACTGTCAACTTTGTAAGTCCATCCCCAATAAAACACCATTTATCGTTTATTCTTGGGTCTGTCAAATCCATAATTTCCACACCTTCAGTTAGATGTTTGTAAAATACTTTCTTGCATGCTGAACTACTTGCTTCATTTTTGAGATCTTTATATAATATGGAAACAGGATTTTCTCTTACATTCTATGTAGTATCTTCATACCTAGACTATACCTTTCTCCCTTGTTCAATTTAGGTCCGCCTAGTAGATGTCAAGGGAGCTCCCATCCCAAATGAAGAAGTCTTCATCAAACTATGGGAACTTGACTACACCAATAAAACGACCACTGATCAGCATGGCCTGGCAGAGTTCTCAATCAACACCACCAACTTTGATAAGCATTCTCTCACTATCAAAGTAAGTCAGGAATGAGGGCATTAGACACATGGTGGAGCTTTGTAACAGCTTGAACTCATTAATGTGTAGTGTAATGAAAACAAAAAATGTTCCAATGCTAAATTTTCTTATTTTATGGCAAAACATAAAAGGTTTCTGATGAGTAATAAAAGTTTGAGCAAAGGGCTATAGAAATAGGTACATGTACTATCAATGCACTACTTTTAATACAATATATTTCACAGTCTCTCTTATTTTGGTTGTCTTCTCTATGTCTCAAGTCAGGACCTTCAAGCAAAAATGAATAAAAGAATGTAATTATCTATTCAGTCATGGATACGTGCTGTGTATCCTCTAATTCATTGTCCATATACGCTGTGCCCATTTTCTCAACCAATGGACAGTTATTTTGTAACTGAATATGTTTGGTGCTACACAGTTCCTGCTTTAGGCAGGCAGGCAGGCAGGCAGGCAGGCCTATACACATGCATGCATGCATGCATGGGCACTTGCTCACACCCACCCACCCACCC